CTCCTAAATCACTCGTACGCACAACTTAAGAACAAATCTGTGCGTACGAACGGTTCTTGCATGAGGCCCAATGTTTTGATTAAAATGTTTGACAAAAAACATAACAAATGCCTTATCAATGCAACATTTAAATGAGCTGTCTGAAATATAATCCTAAAATAAAACTTTGAAGCACTTTTTTGAGAATTGGCAACAAAAACCGTGATTTAGAGGAAAAATAACACCCTAAAATTCTAGATTTTTCCCTGTGAGCTGTCAAAGTTTGTTTCTTTCCAGTTAAAAAAATTACAATATTCAAATACCACTTGAGGTTTTCTCTTTACAATGACATCAAGAATTCCTCATTTAAAATAACATAAAATAGGGATTCAGCCCAGATATTAATGTATCGCAGGGGTCTGCAGCCTGCGGCTCTGGGGCCACATGTGGCTCTTTGTCCCTCTGATCTTTCAAAATGTGACCAAAKATAACAGATTTTATTTTCTGTTTTTATATTCACAAAACTAACACATTTTATGCAAATATTTGATCAATACTACTAATACAAAAAGTAAAATATGTTAGCTCATGCTAGCCTGTTTTCTACCTAAATAATCCAGCTTCTTTCTATAATCTTTCTCTCAAATCRGTCAGGGTTATCTTTAAACACCTTTTAGGACTACATAATAATAATTAGGAAAAAAATGTCTGACTTGTTCAGCTGTACTAGTTTTTATGAAATTCTGTATGAACTATAGTCAGTATTTTTCTTGTGCATCAATGTTTTATTCAGTCTTGAAGTGTGAAAATAATAATAAAATTCACAATACATTTTTTTAGGTTTATGTGACCTCCACTGGCCATAAAGGTTCACGAAAAGGCCTTGAAAATGCCCACGGACCACCAGTTGATAATCACAGTTGTAGCTTATTTTGCGGCTCTGGGCACATTTTATCAGCGAGCAGAAATGGCTCTTTTGATTGTAAAGGTTGCAGACCCCTGATCGTCACCAACAAGACTAATGAAGTCATATCTCTGGATCCATTTATATCAGGATGATCTAAGGATCAAAATTTAGCTTTTAAAGCCAAGAAATCTGAAAATGTGATGAGGTCATTTTGACCAAATTTGACTTAATCCTGATTTCGATARGATGGGTCACATACAAAGTTTCTTCTTGCTCTCCTTGCCACAAATTTGACAGTTTCTTTGATTTTGTGTTTTTACTTRCAGCTACCGTCAAGCTCAGGCTACAGTCCTGCTGGCTCTGCCCCTCCTGAATAAACATGACATTGCCACCAAACGGCCTGATGATTACTTTGCAGAAATGGCCAAATCAGATCAGCATATGCAGAAGGTGAGACCGTTTTTCTTTGTGTTTATAAGATTACACTGTTTTTAAAAGGTTGGACTGATAAATTCAGTTCATATTTTATTCAGCAAAAGAATATCAAGTTTTTGMTTTTAGTTTTGCATGAGTCAAATAGCAAATTCCACCATGTTTGACACTAGTATATTACTTTTTAGATTTAACTACTAAACATTTTCTTTGTATTCATTTAAAATCTAATCCTGCTTTTCTTCCTCTGTAGATCAGACAAAAGCTGATCTCAAAGCAGATGAACCTGGAGAAGTCCGAAAGAGCCAAAAAAATCCGCGAGCAAAGGAAGTTTGGCAAAAAGGTRGGTGTCTTACGCTTTACTTTTTTACTGAACACCAGGTCCAGATTTTATTAAGAATTAAAATGAATCTAAATATACGACAGGTTCAAAAAGAGGTGATTCAGAGGAGACAGACGGAGAAGAAGGCCATGTTGTCTGCTGTGAAGAAATACCAGAAAGGTGGGATTGTGCTTTTCTTATTCCTAACATTTCTTAGAGGCGCTGATGTGAAGATACACCGGCCACGATGTTCTCAAAGAGTTCACCGTTTTTAAAGTGTTTTGTTTATTTGTTTATTTATTTACTTATTTATTTATTTATTTTTCTAGGAATGACTGACAAGTTAGATTTTCTGGAGGGYGACAAGAAAATGGATGTAGATTCTTCTGCGGCTTCGAAAAAGGCTCAGAATAAAAAGGGGTAAGGAGTTTGTTTTGCCTGTTCTCCCTGTGAACACAGGGTGGCGCTGTTCTCCTTAAAAGTGTGAGGTTTTTTTTTTTTTAAACCAAAAGTGTCAATTTTATATCCTGACAATTTTATATCTCGACAGCCCCAACGCGAGACGAAAATACAAGGACCAAAAGTTTGGTTTTGGAGGCAAGAAGAGTGGAAAGAAATGGAACACCAAGGAGAGTTATAARGATGTTTCTGGCTTCCGCGCCAAAGTGGCCAACGCCAAAGGGGAAAAGGGAGGACGAAAAGGCAAAGGAGGGAAGCAAAATGTGAGTTAAATCTAAAAACAAAACAAAAAAAAAAATACTTTTTGACTTACTAGGAAAGAAACACTAGCAAAAAGAAAAAAACTAACTTCTTCTTTGTGTGTGTGTGTGTGTGTGTGTGTGTGTGTGTGTGTGT